GAGGCTCCCACACGTCTCTAGACAGTCAGCTGACAGATGGCAGTGAGGTCGTCAGCCTTGCGCTCCGGCCACCCTTTACTCCTCAGGAAGATTCCTGATACTCATTTCTGTCAGAGACTAAGTCGATCCCAGGACCATAATGCGGCTATAAGCTTTAAGTCAATTGAAAAATCAAATTACCTCATCGGGAATCGAACCCGCTACCTTCCGGCTTGTAGCATAGTGCCTCAACTAACTATGCTACCTCATCCCATTTATTTTACTGATAACGTTCTGAAATCCGGTGTATGAAATGTGCATTTATCGTTGCCACCACTGAAAAGATTTCAATTCATAAGTTCAGTAAAAGTAAAAAAAAAAAAAAGTTAATGTCCCTCTGCTTACCTAACTACGCACTACTCCGCGAAGGACGTATAGGGGAGCGGATATATAGGTCCACATATTCTTGATCTTGGCACTAGTTGGAGGTGATTGGTCAGTTTCACGTCTCAGCCACTTTACCCCGGAGTAAGACTCACCTGGTACCCGTTGGATGGAAGTCTGGGTGAGCCCCAAAATCCGCCTGGACGACGTGGAGAAAAAATCTGCGCCCATACCGGGACTGGAACTCCGACCCCTCGGCCGTCCAGCACGTAGCTAGTCGCTATGCCGACTGCATCATCCCTGCTCTTCGCAAGTTCAGTAGATAAATTTAAACTCTAAATAAATTAGATTGCGCATAGTGTTCTTATTTTGGCGGATTAGCCTGTCTGACCTGCCCCAATTTAGAACTAATATGAAACTATCAATCTTATGGACTGATTGGTAGAACCGCATGTATCACATTTAAATTATATTTCAAATACGGAGACTAGAAACAGAATCCGTCCCTCCCTGTTTCTAATAGTCTATTTCGCTTCCTATTCTTCAGCCTCTGAGTCAGTACAGTTCAGGTTTCTCTCGCGCAATACGCGGCATATTTATCTGGCTCAGACTCTAGTATTTCCTTATACTCCGATTCGTGCGATGTGAAAGTGGACTTCGTCAAGCCGTGTTCTGTGCAAGTAACCGTACCATTTGATACAGAACCATTAAATACCATCAGTAGAGCTGTGGAAGTTATCAAATTTACTTTTTTCTGTTGTTATACGTGCATTTCATTCGTTGATTTTGTTATTCTTAATGACTGATGCTCCACTAAACAAGAATTTCATACTTTACTGATACGAAACGTTTCTAAGCACCTGAATGTGCGAAGGCTCTACACAGCGTGCCCACATCGCCTCGTTAGTGACTGAAAATGAGTGGAGAACACAAGGAGATGAAGTAAGGAGGATAATTAATATAACGTCATGAAATGGGCCATATCAACTTAGTAGACACCCTGTGCCAGTCGTTGGTGAAACAACGCCAACGTAAAATTAGCACAGAGCCTGGGATCTGGTTACAATTAACACGTGATACCGGATCAGGCAGATTCGATACAGCAGCCACTCAGGCAGACGGCCACGTTTTATATCAGGGATAGGTAAACTTGTGCAGGCTTGTGCGAAGATCAAATATTTATACAATTGTTTCAGGCTTTTAACGTGGCGCTGTTAATATTACCCTAGTGGACAAGATTATGGTGATATAAAAGAAAACCACTTTTTAAAATTACTTCTGATACGCTGAATTTGAATCTGAACACAAAATAAATCGTATCACGACATAGTTTTGTGTTATTAATGAATTAAAGTTTATTATTATTATTTAAATAACGCCATTATTTCAAGTTTCGTAGTAAGTGCTATTTCATACATAAAAAGACAGCATAAAAATAAACGTGTTGCAAATTTTCAATCATTATTTTTGTTATCATGAATTTTAATGTTATCTTTACATGTATTTTTATATCTACCAGTGGTATATTCCCTGCAGTTCTTCAGATTTAATAGTTGTTTGATTTTCTAATTTCTTCCATGCATTCTACATAACCCACCTATTTCGTCCACCGGCATATGATCACCCTAAACGTATTTGTCGAAGTTTAAAGTTACGGAAGTTCGTTATTGTGCACTTTTGAACATCGTGTAACTTTCTGCTTAGGTCCAAGCATATTTGACATTTTTTTAAAAATATATATTTTTCCCTTAGTCTAAGAGATCAAGTTTCATACACACAAAAAGATAAAATTGTAGTTTTATATATTTTAGTGTTTAGATTGTGAGAAAGAAGAGCGGAAGGAGAATTATTCCGAAAAGGTTACTTAGTACGTAACTCCGCGGACCAGAATGCTTCTTGGGAAGACAATAGTTGCTCAGCCACTCAAATTCCCGTCACTTAGGCTGGGGCCACACGAGCTCACGAAGTATGTCCTTTGAAACGAACGTACTGTAGCGTAGACCCGCTATATAACCTCGGTCGCTGCTATGCAACGAACCCTTTGTTATAACCATGGAGACTCCTGTTAGAACTACAATAGAGCGATTGTTGTTTCCTATGCAACGGTCTGTTCTAGCGTTTCCATAGAAGTGACTCTTCTGGATTCCAGACACGTTACAGTACTTTATGGCGGACGTTGCTGAGGACACCACACAGTTGCAGAATGCTATGCGTAGTTTTTTGTCTGCAATGGAGCCGGAAGAAAGCGTAGCATTCACCTCTCTTCTTTATTTCTACAACGGGCTTCACGACGTTCGTTTCAACGGATGCATTTTGTGCGCTCCTGTGGCCACAGCCTTAATTGAACCCAAATCTTTATTACAGTGTTTCTAAGAGCCCGATTTTCGTTCCCTTCCAGTCTGTACGGTCTCATCCTACTTCCCCAAGACATATTTTTATGTTATCCTCCCGTCGAAGCCTAGATCCTGCTAGTGTTCTCTTTCCTTCAGGTTTTACTACCAAAATTTTGTAATGAACTTCTCCGATAACAAAAAATTAACAATTCATTTTCATAAAAACAAAGCTAATATAATTATGACATATTTTGTCCCAGACATCAGTGCGGCGAGTACAGCATTTCCAAATGAAACTTTTTTTAGTTACATTTTCATATTCCTTAAGCACTTTTATTTTCTTGTTTTCTGTTCGAAAATTATATGTCTCGGAACACTGGACAATAAATTAGAATCATTATACGTCGGTATAAAATTAAAAGGCTTTTCTTTCTGGAACTAAATGAGTGTTGGCTTTTAGTGCAAAATAATAATGACATGTTTTAAGGGGGTAAAATTAATAAAAAGCATTATTGACACGTTGTGTATGAAAACTTCTCGCACATTTCCGCGTCCCTGTTTTATATTATAACAAGCAAACTATGTACAAACATTTCGGATATGTGATATTACTACTGTATTATATGTATCAAATTTGGTGCGTTATTAAGCTTTAATTATGATCCCTAGTAATACAAATTAAAAGTTACATAATTTGAAGTGCAACTCTGTATATTGATTATTAATATGAACCATGAAACTAATGCAATGCAGATTGCATACGCTGCATCCTAGCGTATTGGTTATCATATGTCACGCAATAACGAGTTGAAATAAGAGCAAGCCTGTGCAGAAAGATGGCTAATGAAATGTAATTACATCTACAGGAAGCTAGGCTGTGATACAGAGCAGTGGCGTCATTGAATAATGATGTTCATTTATACCGAACCGTGTAATGTAACCAACTTTCCCAGGAACAGAAAAGCCAGCATTAAATATCCTACTAACAGCATGAAAACCAACTAGTCTCGATCGTTTTGTATGAAAAACTTTGGAATATAGGAAATGTCTACATGTTCGCTTTATTTACTTTTATGTAACTGTCCATGAAGTCTCCAAACCCATGAAGTACAGTTCTTCCTTGAAAGCTAACAGCTACTCACCAAATCAAAGAAATTCCTCGCTTTTTATGAGAACTGAAAGCCCATTACTTTGTTCATGAGAGCTCGGCAATGGTCTATCATAAACCAAACGAATCTAGTTAATGCATTATTTTTTAAAATTAATATTAATAATATTATCTCATGTGCGCCTAAATCACCCAACTGGTCCGTTTCTTCATGTTTTCTAACTAAAATTCTGTAAGCATTTCTAATATCTCGCATGCGTATTAGATGCCTCGCGAATCTGAGAATCCTAACAATACAATTTGTGAAAAATGCCAATTATACAACAATCCACCAAGAAGCAGCTAAGCCCAGTGAGTTCTCCTAAGACAGAACCCTTTCTTAAACACCCATTTTCTTGTTTTAATCTGACAGAACATTTTCTCATCACTTCATAATAACAGTATATCCACAAAACAATAGGTAAGGGTAAAAATGAAGGTAAATTTGTCTCTATATTTAAGCACCCCGCCATGCAGACCTTTAAGGGAATGGAAGTGTAGCTCCACATATTCTTAACCTCAGAATTAAATTGAGGTGAATGGTCAACTTCTCCTCATCCTCCTTAAATTGATCATTCTAATTACACTTGGAGAAGAGTACAAGTTGTGAAGCTCCTCACTGTGCAGTTTTCTCCAACCTCCTTTCACTTCATCTCTCGTCGGTCCAAATATTCCCCTCAACACCCTCAGTCTATGTTCCTCCCTTAATGTCAGAGACCAAGTTTCGCGCCCATATTCATTCATTCATCAGTAATCTGTCAGACGACAGGTCCACAGTCTCTTCCAAAACAGTTCCTCCACTTAATGCGATCTTGAGCTTTCTCCTTCAAATGAGAATATCCTCTTCTGTCCCCAAGGTCATCCAGCATAATAATAATATAATAATAGAATAGAAGAATAGAATAATAATACTAGAAATAAATATAAGGCGTTATTAATACTGTCTAAACATAGACAGACTAAATTGAATATTTTAATGGGCCGTGGTTTGTTCACCCCTTACCTAGACGGACCAACAGGAAGAACAGGAAAATCCACGGCTAGGACATGACTGAAGGCAGATGACTAAATTAGGCCATTACTGCTGAGATCATCTGTGTCAATGAAGACGATGTATTGTGTTGTTACTTAATTTCCGTGGCTGTGACCTGTTCCAGGAGTACGCAGAGACGGCAATGAATGAGTTGCTGGGATGGTACGGCTATGACAAGTTGGACAGCAGGGACACGCAGGGACTGAACCTCCACCATTTTGCAGCGCAGAGATCTCCCTCCGACCTAGACTCTTCGGACGCTGAAGGTGCAAGAAGCAGTAGTAGTCCTGGGCGTCGCGATGCTGGCACCGGTTCGTCACAAGGGAGCCCCCCATTACCAGGTAAATCATCCGATATAAGCAGATGGCTTGCAGTTCGTTTCTGCAAATTTGTGTTGCCGGAAAGAACATACATGTGCTCACACTTAGTTTTTAGTGTGTTAGCAACGAACAGTTGCAAAATTGGTCCTGTTACTTTAACTGTTTATGTTTATCCATCTTTCGGCATGTAACAACTCGTTAACCCACTAAACGGATGTTATTGAAATTTGATATCACGAAAGGCCATGCCATAGCTCAGACAGGCTGTGGCTTGTCACCGCAGAGGTCCAGTTCAATCCCTAACAACTTCGTGTGATATTCGTGGTGGATAAAATGACGCTTGATCAAGCTTTTCTCCGAGTTTCTTAGGTTTTCGCCTTCTATTCATTAATCTGCCATTGCTCCATATTCATGAGCCCCCAACTAGGCAGCACATTATCACATCCTTGGCCTTTAATTCATCCCTGACCAGGCATTTGGCTGGTAACGGAGTAGGACTGTGGTTTTGATATTTTGGAGAGTTTACTAAAATTTGTCAGCGCGTTATAGTTTTGGTTAAATTGTGCAAAAATTATGGACACTTTCCATGAAAACCCACACGCATTTCTCCTCCCATCTCGAGCGTAATATTAATCAGAGAGGAAAATGTTTTTGAACAAATGTTGTAGAGAAAAATGTAACATATTTTATGCCTGGCAACCTTTGCTTAATTATAACGGTTTTTGAGATAATTGAACTCGGGTGTTTTTTATCCTTAGGCATCTCATAACAAACCGAGAATTCCAGAATTGTTATGCTGTACATATATATCGTGACTTGCTGTTTGTTCCTTACATGAAGTGCATAAAATCAGCGCACAGGGAAGAGGTCGCATATGTCTGGCCATCCGACTTGTCGATTGTTTCATGTTATAAATTACTCACAGCTCTTCGATAAAACGTAATAAAACTACATTACACGTTGTCAGGTGAATTTCACCTTGATCCATATTGGTTAAATTTAACATTTATTTTTCACACATTAGTGATCGAACTGCGTTTTGAAAACCTTTCCATTATGGTTTGAATAAACGTTGAGGTTATGTCTCCAGCCCTGCGTGCTGGATATGCGTAGTCAAGGAACCTGTACGTAACAGAACTTTATGTGGACACGGTCTGGAAGCTGTGAATTTGCATTTAAGCACGAGATCTCCCATTCCGACGACAGACTCGTAACAATTTTATCGTAGTGATGGATAACCGCGTTCTTGTGGGGCCACCATTGCAATATCGGACATGTACAAAGAAATGGCGAAGTGGAGCGGTTCGGACAATAGGTGCAATGAACTCAATGTCCGTTCCGCCCTACCCCGTCTTTTCGCGGCCGGCTCTTCTTCCCACGGCCCACGGCAGGCGCGGGGTCGTTATTAGTGGCGGCACGCCCCCCTCGAGGAACCCCCTCCCCGCGCCCCCGTACGGCAGTGGGCGTGGTCATCCGTCTATCTGGCGACCTTAATTACAAGGTGAGGTAAAGTAGAGAGACCCGGCTACGTCATCAAGTCACGCCAGTAGTGTGTCGGTACAGTCAGGCAACTGCAGTACCGGTATAGTGCAGAACATCTGTGCCGGTGAGAATGACGTAACAGCCGGCGCCAGTCGCCTATGTTGAGGGCGTCTGGCGGGACGTCAGTTGCTGAGGAGTGCAAAGAACAATCCTTCCGAGACCAAATCTTATAGTTACTAGAAGAGCCGGTGGAGTTGTGATGAGATAGATTTCGCTTTTAACACCTTAATTTGAGAGCATAAATTCAAAATGATATATAATTTGAAGGAAATGCAAGCTAAAGGTAAATTTATGCTGTGCTTAATTACTGCATAAGCCCGAACATAAGGCGAATTCAATTATTCTTCCACTCAGAAATTAAGATTTTTTTATTTTAATTGAATGTGTCGTTTAGTTTTGAGGGTTGTAAGCAAAATTAAGTGAACATTATACTGTTAAAGCGTTAAATTCAAATTTGATATCTTAAATATAATTAGTACTAGCGCTTGGAACTTCCCATAGTCATCTTCATATTCATTCGTATATATCCGAAAAGAAGTCTACGCCACTCTTCTAAGAAGCAGTATTCGAGAAAAAAAACTCGTCTTATATTTGGGCTAATACGGTGAGCATCAGCTGTAAGGATGCATAGGAGAGTGGGTGTAGTTCCTTCGCATTCTTAAAGTCGGCAGATATTCACTTCACGTACCAGCTGATTTGCCTCAAGAGAAAATAGCCCCTCTACCCAAAGGATGCGCTGGTTGTGGCCCCAGAGCCGCTGTGTACGCCGCTGACAGGAGCAAATATTCTCGGCCCCGCCAGGGCTGTAGCCCCAATTCCTCATTCGCCCAGCCCATAGCAGCGTAGTCGCCATGTAGTGGCTCCTCACATTTGAAACATTTGTTTCTTCTTCTATGGCTGTACAGCCCATGTGGAACTTGGCCTGATTTGTCAGTTTCTTAATCCTATTCACAGTCAGTAGGAATTCTTGGACAGGGGATAAGCCCGTCGCAAGGCCGTTACCTACACACAGAACAACACAAACACAGAATAAACGTATACATACAGAGATCCATGCCTCGAGTGGGATTCGACCCCACGATCCCAGCGTTCGAGCCTTAGACTGCGCGGCCACTGTGATCGGCTGTATGGAACATACCTAGACAAAATAAAACTTAACAAACCACTCTTAATTTAGGTTGTAGCCTGATGTCCTGTATCGCGGGTGGCTACAAGCGTAGCAGTGTGAATCTCATATCTAAGACTCTATGAATTCATGTGATATTCTCACATTTGTGACCCTGAAGAATACTGCTATGCTCCGAAACGCCGGGAAGTATTCACACAGCATCACAATCCAAAAGACAGTACATTATCCACACTCTTAATCCTTTTCTACGTTTCTGATTTTCGAAACGAATCTCTCCTGCATTATAAATGTTTCTACACTAGCACAGGCTCCAATTCGCGTGCCCACAATCCGGCAATACTATCCAATATTCCATGAAAAGAAAGAATACAAAATACAGGTTTTAAGAAGTTCTTCTAACTAAGTATTTTTCATTAAAATGACGGCAGAGCGATTATTGGTACATCACCCACCGGCGGAATTAGTACTACTTACAGTCAGCGCATGCGCAGTTAGATGTCACGCGGTATCGTTACGATTTTATGATAGGCCCTATATATAATTTGTGTCATTAGACCCTAGAGTCCATGTAATTTTTATTAACTTCGTGGAGCGGCTTCCGTCTAGAAAAGCGAGTAGACGTTCAGCTATTCATTAACATGCCCTCGTTTTATGGATATTGACTGTTCATTACTGTCTTACAAGAATTGTCACAATCCTGTATTCTGAAACAGATGATTCTAGCCCCCCTCCTTTTTTTTTTTTTTGTAAGATCAATCTTAATATTATGAAATTCCATCTAGGTATATGACCCCTAAGTGATTTCTCTTTGGGGTTTTCTATTTCATCTTTGCCATGCCTGCTTCATTCCCCCTCATTCCAATCTTCCACAAATTGTTCACTCTGATATTACTTGTTGAAGAACACAAATTATAAGCCCCCCATTATGCAGTTTTCTCAAGTTTCTTAATACGTTTTCGGGGCACGCGGTGGCATAATTGGTTGAGGCACTATGCTACAAGCCGGAAGGTCACGGATTCAAGTCCTGATGAGGTGGATTTTTCAACTGACCTAATCCTTCCAGCCGAACTATGGTCCTGGGGTCGACTCAGCCTCTAACAGAAATGATTACCAGGTATCTTCTTGCGGGGGGGCGGCAGGCGCGTAAGGCTGACAACCTTACCGCCATCTGTGAGTCGACTGTCTAGATAAAACGTGGGAGCCTCGACGTCTCACAACCCTATGGGCCTCCACTGCCTGTTACGGGGATAGCTTTACCGTTTTATCTTAATACGTCTTCTATCTTAGATCCAAATGTCCAGTTGAAAATTATAATATTCTTTCTTTATTTTCTGTTCTTTCTTTATGTTCTTCCGTCTTCCGTTTAGTTACAGCCTGATTCAGATGTCACTGCCTGTGGCTGCAGTCTCTTGTCTGAGAGCACAGCGCGGGTTAGAAACACGCCCGTGCACGGGCGGCAGAGCAATGCCCGTGTGGCCTTCACCTAATTGTGTCAGTTTGCGAACGGTATTTACGGCTGCAATAATTAGTGTTAGGTACAGGTAACAAACTAAGAACTGAGGAAATTATATAAAAATTTATATGATCAGGTAACAAATGTGAAAAAGCTAAGATAAAGGTGGTTCAGACTTGTGATTAGAATGGACGAAACATGGGCACTTAGGATCATTTTTTAAAGTAAGTTAGAAAATACAAGACGAATGGGAAGACCCAGGCTGTAATGGCTGATAGATGTAGAGAATGATTTATGAGAGCTGAGAGCAGAGAGTTTGAGGTAAATAGAAAATAATAGAAAACAATTGGACTTTGTCGTAAAAGGGACAAAGATGCTTACGTAACAGTACGGTCGAGGTTAAATAAATAAATAAAGGTGAAAAAAGTAAAGTTCCCCTGTGCGTAATTAAACACGACACTGAATGTTATGGGTTATTTGACGCGTTCAATATCTGAATTACGTATCGTCGGATAGTAGAACGATTGATGAATAATGAATTGGAAAGGGTTTGGAAGGAATCGCACTATCCCGACATTTCCCCGGAAGGACTGAGGAAAACCTCGAAAACCTCTCAAGACATCTTGTCTCCCCACCGAGATTCGAATTTAGTTACTTCAGAACGCAGCATTACCTCCAACACACTGGAGGTATAGCTCCACGTATTCTTAACCTCGACACTAGTTGGAGGTGGTCTACTACGAGTGAGAGTCAGTAGGTCACAAATGGAAGTAAAACAGCTGTAACGGATGTAATAGGTTTTCTATGTGCGTCACTAGGTAGCAGCACAGTCCAGCTTCATGACAGTCTAGGTAGCAGACGCGCATGCTCATGTCACAGGCTGGTTTCGATAGCCAA